GATGCATCAAGAATGGCCCAAGGGCTAGTGTGTGGTGGCACTCCAGGCCATCCACATCATTTGAAGAATGGGTAAGGGACCCTTATCTCCCTTACTACCCTACAGATCAGTTTTAGACAAGGAATCAGGGATGAGAGAAGGATCTTTTGAGTAGGAGAATTAATTGTACGTGTTTAGGTAGTTTTCTTCTAGCCAGTGCTACGATAGATTTTTGGAACATTTACCTGTATTTAGAACCGTGAAGCATCCCATCTTTTGTAAGAAAATGGGATTTTGTAATGTCTCTCTCTCCCCAGGATTGTATTGGAACGAAATATATATATATATATATATCTTTTGGAGCATTATGCAATTGCGACGTGAATTCCTTATCATGTATTTCGCTGATATATAGTGATTATACTATATATGTATATGTATACGTATAATGTATATACATAAGTGTAATACGTTAAGTCGACTCTAGAACCTTGTTGAAACAATAATACTCTATTGTGTCAGTATGGTTTCTCGCGGATCAACAAGGAACGCCCGCAATGCGGGAGGTATCAATGGCGTAGCCCAACCGACAGTTCGGGGACGGACACGAGCCCAAAGTCGAGGTCGCGGAAGTATCCGAACCGCTAGTTCGAGTACGACCCCATCCGCGCCAGCTAGTTTGGCTATCGGTAGGAGCAAAGGTGGCCAAGGAGGAGAAATTCCTCTCATAAAGGAAGTGATGGCTGAACAAATGGCACAAGTCCTCCGGGATACGTTGCCAAATATGTTTAAAGATATGTTGGGTGACAGACTTAAGGATAATGAAGGTGGGGAGGAAGGAAGCGTTCGACACGAGAACACTCAATTCCCTGAAAGGGTGGAAGTGTCTGATAAAGAGAAGGTGGAGTCGCTCATCATCGAGAGAACCGAGTTGACTGCAAAGGAGAGAGGATGCAGTTTTAAAACATTCAAAGGCACCGGGCCGAAGGAATTTAAAGGAATAGAGGGCCCAGTTGGCCTGATGAACTAGGTAGCCAAGATGCAGAGCTGCTTCAAAATTTGTAGATGCGCGGAAGATCAAAAGGTGACTTATGCTGCTACAACCTTTGTGGACTATGCATTGCATTGGTGGGAGTCTGAGTGTGCAATCAGAGGTGATGAGGATATTGTTGCCATGACTTGGGAACAAATGAAAAAGACGATGATGAATAAGTACTGCTCGCGAACGGAGGTGAACAAGCTAGAATCCGAATTTCTGAGATTAAAGCAAGGATCGTTGTCAGTTCAAGAATATGTTAACGAGTTTCTTGAAAAAGCAAGGTTCGCTAGTTACCAGGTGGCTACCGAGGAGAGAAAGATAGGTCGTTTCAAGGACGGCCTAAGAATCGAAATCAAACGTTACGTGGACATGACTAAGCCGACCGCATTCGTACAAGCAGTGGAGATGGCAAAGGTGGCAGAGGAGAACAACGCTAGAGAGACTGGTGATAGAAGAGAAGCAAAGAGAAGGTGGGAAGGATTGAGCAAGTTCAACAAGAAATCCAAATGGACTCCGACTCTGGCAAAAACACGAAGTGAGGAATTCACTATCCCTTCATCTAACAAATGCAACAAGAGGTATAGGGGAGAGTGCAGAGTGGGGAGCCTGATGTGCTATAAATGTGACAAACCGGGGCACACCGCACTAGAGTGCCCGAAAAGAAGGACTTGTTATGAATGTGGGGCTACGGGACATTTGTGCCCTGACTGTCCAAAACGTCGCAATGGTGCGACACCCTACGGGAAGATAGTGAATAACGGATTCGGGAAGAGAGCAGAAAATAGGAAGGAGCTACTTAAGGGACACGGCCGAGCTTACAACATGACTTTGGAGGAGGCCAGGGAAACACCCGACGTCGTATCTGGTATGTTCCCTATCAACAATGTGTATGCACATGTGTTATCTGATTCGGGTGCGAATGGTAGTTTTGTGTCTACTACCTTCTGCCACTATCTGAATAGGAGTGCCTGTAGACTAGACAAAACCTACACTGTAGAAACAGCCGACGGTAGTCAGTGTAAGGTAGACGAAGTATTTGATGAATGCATGATTGTTATAGATGGGAAGGATTTCCTTGTTAGGCTTATGCCAATGTGCCTAGGAGGTTTTGACGTAGTCTTGGGGATGGATTGGCTGTCCAACAATCATGCGCAAATACTATGCAATAAAAAGATGATAAATATTCAAACTCCGGAAGGAGAAACGATCCAGGTTTACGGTGATCGAAAGAAGGGTGGCGTAGGGTTGATCAATGCAATTAAGGCGAATAAGTGTCTGCGGAATGGTTGTGTGGCTTACTTGGCATACACCATCGACGCCAAGCTCGAAAAGAAGGCCATACATGATGTACCAGTGGTGAAGGATTACCCAGAAGTATTTCCGGATGAATTACCGGGAATACCACCGAAACTTCAGGTAGAGTTCCGAATCGATTTGGTACCAGGTGCGGTACCAATCGCAAGGGCACCTTATCGCTTAGCCCCAACAGAGATGCAAGAGCTAATAAAGCAATTGCAAGAACTCTTAGATAAAGGGTTTATCAGACCAAGCTCGTCGCCATGGGACGCACCGATTTTATTCGTCAAGAAGAAAGATGGCACGATGAGGATGTGCATCGATTATCGGGAATTGAACAAAATCACGATAAAGAACAGATATCCATTGCCAAGGATCGACGAACTTTTCGATCAGTTGCAAGGAGTCAGCTGTTTCTCGAAAATCGATTTGAGATCAGGTTACCATCAGTTGAAGGTTCGAGAAGAGGAATTGTCAAAGACCATTTTTAGGACTCGATACGGACATTACGAATTTGTAGTAATGTCGTTTGGGTTAACAAACGCACCTGCGGCATTCATGGACTTGATGAATCGAGTTTATGGACCGTATTTGGATCAATTTGTCATAGTCTTTATAGATGACATTTTGATCTATTCGAAAAGTAAAGAGGAGCATGAACAACACTTTAGGATGATTCTTGAATTATTAGCAAAAGAGCAATTGTACGCCAATTTCTCAAAATGTGAATTTTGATTGCATGAGGTACAATTCCTCTGTCACGTAGTCAACGTGGAAGGAATCAAGGTGGATCCGGCTAAGATTGATGCAGTTATGAACTGGGAATCTCCAAGGTCAGTATCGGAGATCCGAAGTTTTCTAGGCCTAGCAGGGTATTACCGAAGGTTTATCCAAGATTTCTCCAAGATAGCAACGCCCTTGACGACGCTGACAAAGAAGTCGGTTAAGTTTGATTGGGGGACAAAACAAGAAGAAGCGTTCTAGACACTTAAGAAGAAACTAAGCACTGCACCGGTTTTATCACTACCAGAAGGAGTAGAAGACTTTGTCGTTTACAGCGATGCATCAAAAATGGGCTTAGGTTGTGTACTGATGCAACGGGGCAAGGTCATTGCATACGCATCACGCCAGCTGAAAGAAAACGAGAGGAAATACCCAACTCACGACATGGAGCTAGCAGCTGTCGTCTTCGCGCTAAAAATCTGGAGACATTATTTGTACGGTACAAAGTGCATAATCTACACTGATCATAAGAGCCTTAAATACTTGTTTGATCAAAAGGAGTTGAATATGAGGCAAAGAAGGTGGATGGAACTACTTAAGGATTATGACTGTGAGATCCACTACCATCCAGGTAAGGCAAATGTAGTTGCCGATGCACTTAGTAGGAAGGAAAGAAACGGACCAATCAGGGTTCAAGCCATGTGGATGAGTGTTAAGGTGGAACTTCTAGACCGAATACGGGATGTCCAGAAGGAAGCTTTACTCGAAACAAACATCAAGAAGGAGAGGATGATTGGACAAATCAAGACTTTGACAGCTGGACCAGATGGAATATATAGACATGGGAGTCGGGTTTGGATTCCTAGTTTGGGAGACCTAAGAAGTGTAGTGATGGATGAAGCACATAAGTCTAAATATACTATGCATCCAGGTAGTAATAAGATGTACAAGAACATAAAAGAAAGCTATTGGTGGCCTGGCATGAAAAGGGCAGTAGCTAGCTATGTGGGGAAATGTTTGACGTGCTTGAAGGTGAAGACCGAGCATCAGAAACCGTCTGGAATGTTGCAACAAATGGAGATCCCAGTATGGAAGTGGGGAATGATCACAATGAATTTCGTCACCAAACTTCCAAGAACGGTAAAGGGACACGACGCCATATGGGTGATTGTGGACCGACTAACGAAGTCCGCTCACTTCTTGCCGATCAGCGACAAGTATACACTAGAAAGATCGGCCCAGCTTTATGTCAATGAAATCATGTCGAGACATGGTGTACCAATATCCATTGTCTCGGATAGAGATGCTAGGTTTACTTTGAGGTTTTGGTCAAGTTTTCAGCAAGAAATAGGAACGCGGTTGAACTTGAGTACCGCATATCATCCTCAAACTGATGGCCAGAGTGAGAGGACGATACAAACACTGGAAGACATGTTGAGAGCTTGCGTGATTGACTTCGGAGGTAGTTGGGACAACCACCTCCCATTGGTGGAATTTGCTTATAACAATAGTTACCATTCGAGCATCAAGGCGGCACCATTCGAAGCATTATATGGTCGTAAGTGTAGAACTCCAATTTGTTGGGCAGACATAGAAGAAAGGCAACTAGCTGGACCCGAGTTGGTCCAACAGATATCTGATAAAATCGTACAGATCAAGGAAAGGTTAAAGGTTGTGCAAGATAGGCAAAAGAGTTATGCTGATAGAAGACGTCGACCTTTGGAATTCCAAGTAGGTGATAAGGTTTTGTTGAAGATATCGCCATGGAAGGGGGTCGTGAGATTTGGGAAGAAGGGTAAGCTAAGTCCAAGGTATATCGGACCATTTGAGATAACTGCAAGAGTAGGAGCAGTTGCTTATCGGTTGAAACTACCAGAGGGATTAAGTGGTATTCACAACACCTTTCATGTGTCAAACTTGAGAAAATGTTTAGTTGACAAATCGACTGTTGTGGATTTAGACGACATCGAGGTTAACGACAAACTCGCCTATGTGGAAGAACCAATTGGTATATTGGATAAGAAGACGAAAAGACTAAGAAACAAAAGTATACCATTGGTGCTAGTTAAGTGGAAATTCCATAAAGGCACAGAAATGACGTGGGAGCGAGAAGAAGAAATGAGATCTAAGTATCCCCAGTTGTTTTAGTAAGTGCTAATTCCGAGGACGGAATTTCATGAAGGAGGGGAGAGTTGTAAAACCCAAAAATTTGTGGAATAAATAATTTATCTTTATTAGTATTTTATTTTAAGAGTATATATATATATATATATATATATATTAAATAAAAATAGAAGGTTGAAATAGGTTTAAAAGTCGGACCAAAAATGAAGGAAGAAGTCAAGACATGGGTGAAAGTTGTCAATTCGCGAAAGTTAAGGGACTGGGTCGTGTGTAAGCAGGTCCAAACCAGAAGGACCTATTTTGTAAATAGGCAACAGACCTGCAACAGGGTGGCCTGCTTTCAACGATCGAGAGAGGCAGAAGAGGAACAGGCGGTGCCTGGTTCAAAAGAGGAAACTGTAACCTGCATGGTTGCAGGCTGTGGAAGAGAGCAGTTCCCGGCCCAAAACTCGGGATTCTGCCGATTTGGTCAACTAATAGGCCAAATTGTGTGAGCATAAATTGAGGGCACCAGGTTGGGGTCGTTATTCTTTTGAGAGAAGAAGGGAATCGTTAAGCTTGAAAGAGAGAAGCCGGAGTTCATACCAGCAAGAAACCCCCTGCTTCCCGTCGTTTAGAGGTAAATACTCGACCAAATTTATGATTTAAACAATGTTTAGCCGTGACTTTGGCCCTGTATAGAACCCTAGAAGGCTCACGTCCAAACTTTGTGTTTTGGGATTCGATTTCAAGGATTAGATTTCATTTGTTAAACACGCTGTATCGCATTCTACTTAGAAGCCACCTTAGAGAATGTTACACAGAAGCTCTGCACGAGAGCTCTGTATCAAATGCGTTAGACAGAAGCTCTGCGTGAGAGCTTTGTGTCATGTTAGCCAGAAGCTCTGCATGAGAGCTTCGTATCAAGTTATGTTATAGTGAAACTCTGCGTGAGAGCTCTGTATCAAGTTATGTTAGATAGAAACTCTGGAGGAGGGACCACAGAGGGGCTCTTGCCCTTGGTATGGTATTATTATTCTAAGTATGGTTCAAACAGAAGCTCTGTAAGAGAGACGACAGAGGGGCTCTGGTCCTTGGTACCGAATTATTTCCCAAGGCTCAACCACAGAGGCTCTGGTAAATACCACAGAGGCTCTGGTCGTGAGACCAGAAGCTCTGGAAGAAAGAGACCACAGAAGCTCTGGTTGATACCACGGAGGCTCCGATCGACACCACAGAGGCTCTAGTCAACCACAGAGGCTCTGGCCCTCTCCAAGACTTAGCACAGAGGCAGCCTTAGAGTTTCATCCTTAGCTCTGATGGCTTGATAAGACTTTTAAATAACAAGCGAATAGTTGACCAATGATAACCCTAGTCGACATAGTTGACCGTAAGTTAACTTTTATAGTCCTTGTAGAAATTTATGTACTATTCGCTATTATAAATTGTAGGTTACCAGTCAGCGCCGTTAAGTAAGCAATCGACGTTATCAGGTGAGTCTTCATGAGACTTACAATGGGATGCATACTTATATATAAACTTATTTTCAAGCACTATACGATTTATATGATGATGGTACAAATACATGATGTTTTAAGTTTACATACATGATATGTTTTACATGTATGACGTTTTATGATCAGTTGCATGCTATGTGTTTAATCAGTTTTCGAAAACTCTAGCATGATTTTCCATACCAAAGTCTGATGATTTAAGGGTGGGCATTTGACCAGTAAGTCACGGCTAGTATAAAACACTACCTGGACAAGTGGATGATAAGTTAAGATTTTGATACCCAGGGCGTGTTGGTGACTAATAAGTCACGACCAGTATGAAACACTACCCGGACAAATGGGTAATCAATCGAGAATGAAGTATCAACCCAGGGTGTGTTTGTGACTAAATGACCCATTCCAGACAGATAATTTATGAGATCTCATTTCTTTCAGTGTTGCATGTTTTTAGAAATTGCATGCTACGTGGTACAAAGTTTACAAGTTGAAATGTATGACGTACAATGATTTTATACACGAAAACCATGAACTCACTGAGCTTTATAAGCTGACTATAGTATGCATCTCAGGCCCAGGTAGTTCGAGGGCGGATAAAGGCAAGGGACATGCTTAGAGAGTTGCTCATTATCATCTCATGTTAGTCTTTTGTCTAAGATGCGCTGTAATGATCTTTTGTAACTTAACCCCAAGAGAAGGTGGGTTAGAACTTAAGTTAGATTTTGATGATTCAAAGACTTCCGCTGTAATAGTTTAAATGGTTTTAAATTAGCCATTACTTTGGTGTATTTATGAAGGAAATGTTTCAGATTACGTAACATCTCTCTTGATGAAATTCATGGTGTTATAGAAACCCTCTCATCGATCAAAGCATTATCCGGTAAGGACCCTTCACCGATCATGTGTTGTCCGGTAACACCCTCATCGATCAAAGCATTGTCCGAAAAGGACTCTTTATCGATCAAAGCATTGTCCGGATAGGACTTTTCACCGGTCAAAGTGTTGTCTGGATAGGACCAAGTGTTATCCGATGAGACCTCTCACTAATAAAGTATTGTTGGGATTAAACCTCATCACTCATAATATGGTTATAGATGAAATGACAATGTAACCGCGATAGATGAAATGACAGTGTAACCGCGATAGATGAAATGACGCTTTAACCGTGGCAGGGTAACCAAGATGTTAAAATTCATGTTTAAACGGTCTTGGTGTTTGCAGTAGGTTATGTTTGTAAGAGGGAAATTCATTTACTAGACCTTTCGGTCTAATCCTCAGTTGTTGTAATTATTTGTTTTGCAGGTCATCCAACAACTCATGATAAAGGCAAAGAGAAGATGTAGAAGAATTTTGGAAGAAAGTTTTATTGTGACAAAAAAATTTGAACTCATACTGTTGATTTGTCATATATAAATATACATGGAATGTTTGTAAATTTGGTTACATTACTTAAGTGGAAGTATGAGGTTTTGTTGTTAGCACTGTTTAGTACATGATGGGTCGTTTCAGAGATGGGTTATCGTATCAGTGTGGTGCGAGGAATGGGTTTATTGCATCTACTTGGTGCGAGGAGTTGTGTTTATCGCATTAGTGTGGTACGACAATTGAGGTTTATCACATTTGTTTGATTGATAAAGTTGGTTTATCGCCTGTGCCGGATGCGAAAAAATGTTTTTATCGCATCTATTGGATGCGACAAAATGTGTTATTGTATCTGTTTTACGCGATGATGGATTATCTCATCCTCATGTTGTGATGAGATGATGTTGTCTCATCTATATGATGCGACAAAAATGAGGTTTGATGCAATGTTATTTATATGTTAATTTTCAAAGATTGACTTTTCAAAATTGTTTTAGTGATTTTTCACCCTGTAATAGTTATTATGGGATTGCTCACTACATCTTTTGTTCTAACCCTCTTTGGTTTTCAAAAATGTGCATTACATGTCGGGCACATCCGGAAGGTAAAGGGAAGAGAAAGATGTAAATTGCAGGGTTATATATTTACATCTGTATTTATGATGAACGTGGATTTTGTTGAAGTTGAATTTATACATGAACTTGTGAAGTTGTATTATTCAAGTCATGTACTTTGTAAGAAAACGTTTGTAGCTATTTTTGTATGTAGCAATGTATATAATTGGAACTAGTGTGTAATATTTGTATTTCCATATTATATGGAATATGTGTGCTTTATCCAAATATAGGATGGGGTGTTACATACATACATACATACATACATACATACATACATACATACAGACATACATACATACATACATACATACATACATACATACATACATACATACATACATACAGAGAGAGAACAAATCAAATACAAATTATGGAAATGTTACAAAACATATAAACCAATTAATTAAGATATTTATAAAAATTATTATTGTTCATTTATTATTATTAAATATTTATAGAAGATGATAAAAATTCATTATTTATAATCAATGTTTGATATTAAGAAACAATTTATATACACTAAGGGGTCGTTTACCAAACGATTACTCGAGTAAGTGAACACCAAGTTATTTTACCTTACTGGATGAATATGGTAAGGATCAAGAATCTTACCCGGTAAGAGCGAGACAAAGACCAAGAGTCTTACCCGGTAAGTGAAGTGGACGACTCTTACCACGGTAAGCGCTTACCGGGTAAATTGTCGCATACGATACTGTTTTTGTGGACTAAAATCTTATCCGGTAAGTAAATGATAGTGTTAAATTTATCGGTAAGTGTTTACGGGGTAAGTGCTTGGTAAACGGCCCCTAAATATTTATTAGACTAGATGGACGGTGGTAGAATTTTATGATTTTTTTTTATTGTTAAGGAATGAATAAGTTTTTAATGCTTGTTTTTATTTGAATTGTGGTGTACGTAAAGAGAGAGAGAAATTTGTAAAGTTTTACAGATGGCTATTTTTAGAAGACGTGTAAATATAGTTGTCAAAGCTGGATAATATGTTTGAACCACGTATAAATCATTGAATGCTAATTCAAAGCATCGTCAGATATCTTGGTTTCCCAAGAACTTGATGTTAAATACGACTTCAATGCTGATTTTTATGTATACTTTCTTTTTAAATTTTTAACTAATAAAAAATAATCTTCGACAATTATATTTATTCCAAATTATTTTATATATGGCTTAATTTTAGAAAATATAACAAAAAGTATATATGGTTCCGAGTTGAAATTAGTTAGTAGTCTAAATTGTTTTATGTAGAGATTGATCTTATTAATTCCCTGCATAAAAACATGTTTGGCAAAATGAATAATTAAGTTACAAATATTATCACATGATTTTTCAAAATAAAAATACATAAAAAGTATTAATTGTTGAATATGATTAATTTTATTTTAGATAAATATAAGTTTCCATAAAAACAAGACAAAAGTCCGAAAAAAAAATGAATCAGCGAGAAAACTATTAAAATTAAAATAGTAGGAAAAAAATATCAAGATATATTAATAACTTAGTGGTAAGGAAGTGTTTATGTATGCTTGATCTTGTAGAGTTCAAGTCTTGTAGTTGTTATTTTGAAACTTTTTATTAGTAATAATACCATTGGGTCTAAATTGATGCTTTGATGTCGTGGACCCTTTGGAGCGGCCCTGCAACTCACATTCAAGGAGAGGCGTGTAAACATTATTTCACCTTCGGGTAGTGGTAGTGGTAGTGGTAGTGGTAGTGGAAGCAAATACTCGATTACTTCTCTATAGATTCACTCTTTCTATTTTCTACCTTGAGCACTTCATGTAGGTGGCCTAGGCCTAGCCAACACAACCAGGACTTGCATGATACATTAGCGTCTCTAAGGTTAGCTAAAAAGCATGTTTAAATACAAAATAACTGTTGGATCATACTAATACACTAAAATACTACATAAAATTTGATAGCCAATCGATGACTCGTTCGATTTTTTACGACCATACAAAACCATAAAAATATATTTGAAAAATGTAAAAATAATAAAACTATTTGTGTACTATTTTTTAAATATGTATATATAATCTAAAAACATTTCAACATAACAATTGTAAATGCGTACATAATTTTAAAACATTCCAACGCAACATTTCTAAATATATAAAAAAATTCAACACAACAATTGCAACACCTTACATAATTTAAAAGCATTCCAACATGACAATTGCAAATGCGTACATAATTTAAAAGCATTCCAACATGACAATTGCAAATGCGTACATAATTTANAAAGCATTCCAACATGACAATTGCAAATGCGTACATAATTTAAAAGCATTCCAACATGACAATTGCAAATGCGTACATAATTTAAAAGCATTCCATAAGAATAGATGCAGAAATGAAGAAAATGAAGAACCAAAACACTCAAAAATAATTATTAGCGATGTCATATCAGAATAAGTCAATAAATTGTTTTTATAAGCAATCCCAAACAACTTCATACTTTCGTTGAATTTAAGCCATTTCACCCGTGTTTTTAACTTTTTCTAAGAGTAATTTACGTTTTTCTTCCGCTATTTTCGTACTTGTACTTTTCAAATTATAATTTTTATTTTTATTAAAACATTAAGTGTTTTGAATATTTATGTTAAATAAATAAATCATCTAATTTTTAAAAATTAGTTGTATAAATATGTTTTTAACCTTAAAAACTACTTGTAACAAGCTAAGAAAATTTTAAAGTCAAAAAAATCTAAATCAATTTTAGTGTCTTTAGTTACGTAAGATTTTAGAAATGTAAAATTGATTTAAGTTTTTTTTACTTTAAAACCTTCTAAGCCAGATTTCAAATAGCTTTTTTGAGTTAAAAATTAAATTATATAAGTAATCAATTTTTAAAAGTTCAATAACTTACTTTTTAAATCAAAAAGTTTAAAGACTTGATTATTTTAAAAAAATTAATTTTTATATTAAAAAAAATAATTTACAAACTTAATCATTTAAAATAAAAATGTTGGCTAGGTTTTCTTTTAACATTTACACTGGTTCTCTCAAATAGTCTGTTAAGTTTACATATATAACAATAGAGTTTCCTTGAGGTTTAGATCCTACTCTTCCACCTATTTATTGCTTCATGCAAAAACATTTGTTTGTCTTTTTTGACATTAATACAGCTACTTAGACAACTCAATAAATTGGAGTCAAATAGCCTAAGCTTGATTCTTTTATATATATACATATACATATACATACAGAAAGATAGGGAGAACGGGGGAGATCGTGGGCGGAGAGAGACGGTAAAAGAAGACGAGGGTCGAAGCTATGGAGGTAGAAGCCATGGAGATAACAAACGAGAAGGTGGAAGAAACGTTCGAGGAGTCGGACTATAAAGGAATCAAAGCTATGCCGTATGTCATAGGTAAGACTTGAATGTTAGGTTCGTTTACCAACATAAACGGGGTAATTAAGAGTTTCGGTTATCAAAATGACATTTTAAAGTTGTTGGTGAACAACCATCATCTATGACCGGTAATTAAGCATCTCTTACCTGGTAGGTAAGATGATTAGGTAAGAGTTATCATCTTTACCGAGTAAGATTCTTGGTCGTCAAAATGACATAGTAAGATGGTTAGTAAACACTATCATTATTGAATGGTAAGCATCTATTACCCGGTCAATGTTGATTGGGTAAGAGACACTAACTTCACTTATCGAGTAAGATTCTGACCAGCAAAATGACATAATAAGATTGTTGGTAAAGGTCGTCATCTCTATAACTATACAAGTGTCTCTTACCCAGTAAAGAGGGTAACAAGTGTATACTTACTCGCTTATAGACAATAATATGTGTTCAGTTAACAACCATATTGATTCTTTAAATCTTTAAGAAAAATGATTTTACTACTAACCATTGTTGTAGGAAACGAGACATTTGAGAAACTAGGAACGATTGGGACATCGGCAAATCTATTAGTGTATCTTACAACAGTATTCAACATGAAGTCCCTGGCAGCAGTGAACCTCATCAACGTCTTCAATGGTACCTGCAATTTCGGAACTCTTTTCGGAGCTTTTCTCTCGGACACATATTTCGGACGCTACAATGTTATAGGATTCGCCTCCATTTCTTCTTTGGTGGTAGAGTACATGCTAATCCCTCTCTTAGTATCATTTTCAACTAAATGTCCTACTTATCTTTCAATAATTCATTAAATGCTAACAAAAAATATTGTAGCATGAGATCCTGTTAAATTACTTTTTAAAACAAAAAAAAATACATAAATTCTTACATTTCTCATCTTAACTATTATTATCACATGATCGTTTATTAGGGGGCGTTTTATTTATAATCTATCTAATTCTAACAAATTATACAAACCATAATCAATGCTTATATTAAAAAACAATAGAGATATTTATGAACAATTATTATGATTCATTAATTATGATTGAGATATATATACGAAAAATGATAATGTTCATTTGTTATGATCATGACTTTAGATTAGAAAACAGAATGGAATCAAATATTATTAAACTAGATGGACGGCTAAGACTGGTTTGTAGGGTATGTTAGAATTGAATAGTGTGTAAATGAAACGGCTTTTATATACAAGGGTTAAATCAAATAAGAACCATAAAAACGTTGAGAACCATAAAAATTGATCTCAACCTAGATTTATATCCGATGGTTATGATTTATTCATGCGGTTTTGCCAAAAAGACAATTGTAAATTCCAACTCATGAAATAAAACACAATTTTCATCTATGTACTATTTCAACTCATGAAATCCAACATAATGTTCATATATATGTTATTTCATCACATGCAAATCAAACGATATTCATTAAATATATAATATATGTTATTTCACCACATGAAATCAAACAATATCCATCTATATATAACATATGTTGTTTTACCACATGAAATCAAACAATTTTCATCTATAATGTATTTCTGAAATCAAACACAATTTTCATCTATAATCTATTCATGAAATCAAACACAATTTCATCTATAATATTATTTCACATCATAGAATCAAACACAACTCTTATCTACATGTTGTTTTACTCTACGAAATCAAACACAATTTTGAGAAAAAAAAAACCCCAAATCTGTTTACAAATGTTTAACCTCCTAATTTAGGCTCGCCATCTCAAATTCTGTTTCTTCCTCCCTGTATTCTTCAACAAATGTGTCTGTCCTCTCAAAAACCACTCATTCACAAACTCCATCGATTAGGATCCACTCCTCTGAAACCCTGAAATTGATTCAATTCGAAATTCAAATCCAAAACCAAATTAATCAACAGTACTTGAAACACAACCAAAACATATATTAGAAGAAATTAAAGGTCTACGCTTACTACGAATGCTTACATAAGTGTTCAACTGACAAACAAAATGGGAGAAAAGTATTTGAAGTGATAGACGTTGGGAGAAATCGAGAGGTTCGACAACGATGAAGCTGTTATCGGCGATCCCCCACTGGATGAAACCGTCGAGAGATGGATCGTTGACCATCTTATAAGTTTCGAGAACGAAAGATTTGCGTGTTTCGAGGCAAAAGCGTAAGCATGTGAGGGATTTCATCAGCATTCATCGAGGCAGAAGGGTTTTCACTGCCAGAGAATGGGAGGGAGAGGGTGGGTTTCGCCGGAGGGGGGGGGTGAGGGTGGGGGTTTGCTGCCGGAGAAAGAAGAAATGGGAGGGGTCGTTCATTGCGTCCAGGGTTCCATCACGGTTCCATTTTTTGACGCTGCATGAGAGAGAAGAACCCGTGGTGAACTGGATGTGAAAGGTCCAAATACCCCCTTCAACTTGTCATATATTTGATAACTACTCGCGATGCAACCATAGATATTGATTTTAATATTTTATTTTATTTTTTATCTCATTAGATGTTATAATATGGTCTTATGTGATTTTAAAAAAATGAT